ACATTTAATTCTGCTGTGATTTGGGCAGCCGTGGTTTTATGTTTTTTGGATACAATCCGGGTTAGCACCCGAACATCCCTTTCAGACAGCTTCCTCTTGCGTCCACCGTTAATCCTGTTGGATGTGGTTAGTCCCTCTTGGTGGTATGCTGACATTACCCTGGATACCGTGGCTCTTGATACATCACAAAGACTTGCTGTCTTGGTCACAGATGCGCCAGCAAGACGTGCACCAACAATTGGTCCTCTTTTGAATTTTGGTATGTCACCCATAATGCTGTGTGCATTGCAATATTTTGAGCAAAACTGTGCTCTTTCCATGCTAATTGGACCTTTACAGTCTGCTCTTATTGGTTCAATGTGCAATTAATGAAGATTGGCCACCAGGCTGGTCCAATTTAGCCATGAAACCTCCCACACTAAAATGAGAGGTGTTTCAGTTTCATTGTCCAACCCCTGTACATTGTACAAAGCTTACATGACTTCTCCGATTTTTTTGTTTTCTTTTTTAAACAGTTTTTTTTTTTTTTTACCCCTTCCCTCTTCTAATTTAACAAAAACAGGACCAAATAAGTATAATTACATTTTTTTTTTAAAAAAGATAAAGAAAGAAAGAAAAGGATACAATAACAACCAAAAAATAAATTAATTAATTTAAAAAAAAAAAATAATAAAATAAAATAAATAAATAAAACAAAAACAAAAATAGGGGTGGGATGGAGGGGGGGTTAGACGGCATTGAGAAGCTAAAAGGCAACAACTCTTCACTAAATTATTGTGTAAATTTAAGTCACATGATGAAGGGTCAATCACATCTATCTATACATAATAAGGGCAGAGATGTTATGTATGTCATAAGAGGTGCCCACTTGTGAGTAAATTTTGCTGAATTCCTTTTTACTGTTAATGGAGGTATAGGAGATTTCCAGCAGAGTAAAATGCCTCGCCTGGCAAGGAGAGAACAAAAAGCCAAGACCTCCCCCTGCAGGGGCGACAGATTAATTGAGGTCCCTGGAACTCCAAAAATGGCAATTAGTGGGTCGCTTCGGATCTGGATTCCAAAAACCCCTGAGAGTGTGGAAAAGACATAGTCCCAACATTTTTGTAAACTTGGGCAAAAGAAAAACATAAGACTTAAGTTGCAGGGAGAGGTCACACTGGTCCAAAATCGAGGGAAAAATTTTAGAAAGATGGGATTTTAAAAAGTGGACTCTGTTTATCACTTTAAACTGTATAAACTGTAACCTGCCACATGGTGTGCTTAGGCGTATATTGAGAATAACTCTATCCCACCATGAATCAGATAGTTCAACACCCAATTCACGCTCCCAAAGAGTTCTGGATTTACCTGATGAGTCGGGCTCAATTCCCATAAGCTTTCCATATATATTAGAAAGGGGTGATTTCAGATTGGGTTTCAAAATTAGTAGGTCTACCCATAGTGGGTCAACAGGAAGAGTAGGAAAATTTGGGAACAGCGAAGAAACACAATGTCTAATTTGGAAATATAGAAACAGATGAGAAGTAGGTAGGTGCCTCTCTCATGCCAAACTCTGTAGCCAACATTAGTGGTTGCAGGAGAAAATATAGGATTTTTTAATAACGGCATTTTATTAGAGGGAGACGTAAATTTAAAATGGGACCTAAATTGTGACCAGATCTTCAGCGTAGAGAGCACTATTGGATTTGTAGAAACAGAGGGAAGTTTAATTGGTAATGATGAATAGATAATTGAGGCAGGTGAAAAAGATGTAGATATCGATTGAATTTCAAGTTTACACCAGAACAGATTCGGTGAATTTAGCCAATAAATCAATTTATGAATATATGAAGACCAGTAATACATTGCAAAATTGGGTAAGGACAGACCACCTCTTGTCGTGAACTGTTGCAATAGAGAAAGCCTCAATCTGGGGGCCTTATTGTTCCATAAAAATGAAGAAACCATCTGATCCAGGGACTTGAAGAACTGTTTAGGCAAGAATAAAGGGATACATTGAAATAAAAAAAGAAATCTAGGTAAAACATTCATTTTAATAACATTAATTCTGCCAATTAGTGAAAGAGGGAGAGAGTTCCATCTCCGAAAATCTGATGCGATTTGAGAGACTAGGGGGGAGAATTTTTGAGAATACATTGAGGGCAGAGTACGAGTAATATTAATTCCCAAGTACCTAAACCCTGAAGGGCTGAGTCTAAAAGGAATGTCAGACTTCCCAAGTTCCAAAGCCAATGAATTTACTGGGTAGCATTCACTTTTAAGCAAATGAATTTTGTAGCCAGAGAAAGATCCAAACTTTTCAAGAAAATCCCAAATTGGAGGAAGACTGTGTAAGGGATCCGAAACATATAAGAGAAGGTCGTCTGCATATAAGGAGAGTTTAAGTTCAACACCAGAGGGAATAATTCCATGAAAAGAAGAGAGGGATCTTAGCCGAGTAGCGAGTATTTTAGCTAAAATCTTAAAATCCACATTTAAGAGCGACAGGGGCCTATAAGATTCGCAAGCAGTGGGATCTTTATCTTTCTTCAACAGGAGAGAGATTGAAGCCTGAGCCAAGGTGGGGGGCAACAGGCCACGCCCTAACGACTCATTATAGACCTCGAGAAGAAGAGGGGCCATCTTGTCTTTGAATTTCTTAAAAAATTCGGCAGGAAATCCGTCCGAGCCGGGGGCCTTACCACACTGCATATTATTGATTGATGTAAAAATGTCTTCCAATGTAATGGGCGCATCAAGTTGATCAGAAAACAATTTATTCATCCTAGGGATGTCAATATTCTGAAGAAAGGCAAATAACTCATCCGAGCCGGATTGTAGTTCAGATTTATACAGATTACAATAAAATTTCTTAAAAATATCACTGATAGAAACAGGATCGGAAACCAAATTGCCTAATTGATCTTTGATTTGTGATATTGTGCTAGAGCTAGCTTTTCGTTTCAGTTGATGCGCCAGGAGCCTACTTGGTTTTTCTCCATGCTCATAAAAAGAGGCTCGAGATCGAATCAAGAGACGCTCCGCATCAGAAGTTGTTAGGAGATCAAGTTCAGTTTGAAGATCCAGTCGTTGCTTCAGTAAAGCGAGTGACGGATTAGTGGCATATTACCTGTTGATTTTCTGAATTTTTGATGATATTTCTGATATCTTAGCATGTCAATTTTTAGTAACATTAGCTGAAAAAGAGATAATCTGACCCCGAAGATAGGCTTTTAATGTTTCCCATAATAATGAGAAAGAAACTGTGTCGCTCTTGTTAAATGTAAGGAAATCATCAATTGTTGATAGGATGAATTTATTGAATGTTTCATCTGATAACAGGAGACTATTAAATCTCCAACAAGGGCAAGAATGGGGTTTATTCATGAAGCTTATATCAAGGCTTAAAGGGGAATGATCAGAAATAATAATCGGATGGTATTCAGAAGATGTGACTCTGTCTATTAAAGAGCCATCAATAAAAAAATAATCTATACGGGAATAGGACTGGTGTACCTGAGAGAAAAAAGGATACGTCTTTGTTAATGGGTTACGTGCCCTCCATGGATCTACATGTCCATTTTGAGTCATAAAATCCGAAATAGATTTAGACATATTTGACTGCGTAAAGGCTCGAGATGAAGAGCGATCTAATACTGGGTTCATTACACAGTTTAAGTCCCCAGCTAGAATCAACAAATGAGAGTCAAGAAAAGGAAATGTGCTAAATAGATCATTTATAAAATCAGGATTATCAAAGTTTGGTGCATAAATGTTCATTAATAGGACAGGGGTATGGAACAGAGTACCTGCAATTATAAGAAATCTGCCGTTCGTGTCTTTCACTACTTTTGATGCTGTGAAATGAACCTTGTTATTAAATAATATGGCTACTCCTCTAGCTTTCGAGTTGAAGCCCGAGTGGTAAATCTCCCCAACCCATGAATATTTGAGCTTGGACCAATGTCCATTCTGCAGATGTGTTTCCTGTAAAAATACTATATCAGGGTTTAGGCGCTTCAGATGAAAGTTTATTTTAGATCTCTTCACTGGACTATTAAGACCTTTGACATTCCAACTTAGGAATCTAACAGGAGCTGAAGAAGCTTTCAAATCAACGGACATGTGACCAGTTGTTTATAACAGAAGTTGAAGGATATTGCCACCCCCTCCATCCCCAAGAAGGAACAAAAGAAACTAATAAATAAAAGAAAATAAGATAAAAGAAAAATAAAAAAAATTAAAAAATTAAAAATTAAAATAAAATAAAAAACACACAAAAAACAACAACATATACAAACATTTTCCCCCACCCCTTGCTTGCACTCTGCCCTTCCCCAAATGAAGGGACCGTGCAGACTCCAACAGGAGCCACTAGAAAACTTATCCTTACAGCCGAACAGCGCAACAACAACAAAAAAAACTCCCTGTGATACTAGGCGAGTCCTGCAGAATCAGCAAAATAGAGAAAAAAATAAAATATACAATATGCACTTTTCTAGGAAATCAACAACACCTACAGAAAACATCCAATATTTGAAATACACAAGTAAACTGCAACCATTTCGAAACAGTCCGTTTTTTCTTTTTTTTTTTCTCCTTTTCTTTTCCTACTTCCCATTTCTCCTTAATATGAAAATATTACTTAACCAGACCAAACAAAGTCCCCAGAATGTGAAACAAATCTTTGTAACTATACTTCTTATTTGGTAATAGACCCGATGTAGATATTGCTCTCCTCCGGAGAGGTGAAAACTTGCGTAGTTCCACGATGGGTAATCCGCAACCGGGCCGGATGAAGCAAGCCGAACCGGACCCCCTAAATGCCACGGAGCCGGCGACGGCAGTCTGTAAAGGCTGCTCGTGCTCGGGCCGTCCTGACAGTATAATCAGGGAAAACGAA